AACTCCAGTTGAGGGGACAATTTGCATATTAGTTTTTTATTATATAGGATAAATTAGGAGTAGACTTGTTAGTTATCAGCTAATTCATGTCTGGCAGGTGGGCTTCCATGTGGCATTTGAAATTTGTGGTTCTGCCAGTCCCATTTCTTTGGGGTCCTCTGCATGTAGCCTGACAGGTAGGAAAAATGGAACCTAGAAACCTGCATTAGCTGTATATGTCCTTCCCTGAAAGTGATGCACATATTTTTGTCCTTATTCATTTGGCAAAATAGCTGCATGCCAAAGATGCTGAGAAATGAGAAAACAACTCCCAGTGACAAGTTACCTTAGACAAAAAGCAACCATCAACACACATCAATATAGTGGCAAAGGTTGGATTAGATTATTTGAAGCATATTGAAAATAAATTATGGTATGATTCTATCAAAATATTAATGTAGTAATCTTGAGATGTGAAATTTATGTATCTTCCAAAATTGTTAATATTTTCTTCTTCTCTATTCCTCATCAGAATATGCATTTGTAAAGATTTTTAGGGTTCCAAGCAATAAAAATCATCTGAAACTAGTTTCAAAACAAGAGGGGTTTATGTTGAGAATTTAGGAGCATGACTCCAATTCCAGAGCGGAAACATAACATGTATTATAGAAAGGGCACTAAGGCTGGTTCAGATAAACTCTCATGGCTTTCATGATCCCTTGTCTCTACTGCTTTTAGTTCATCTTCATTATCTTGTCATTCCAAAGACCACCTCTCAACCTCACAGTCCACAGACCATTGGCTGCTTATACAGTAGTTCTCAGGTTTGTGCTCCCGCCATTCTGGAGCAGCAGCTAAATTAGGCTCTCATAATCTCAATTCGGAATTCTAGAAGAAAGCATCTGATTGCTCCCACTTCAATTAGCTTTTACCCTTAAACCAATCTATTGTATGAAGACATAATAAAAATCTAAGCTGAGTTATTTACATAAAAAATGAATCTGGGTGATCCCCTTCTTATAGGATAAAGCTCAAGTAAGCAATTAAATAGCTTACAACAATCATATATAAAAGCTAGATCAATGTGTTTGGATTAGAGCATGCACGGATTAGAGCATGCACAGACAAGAGAGGGGAAAAATGAAAATGAGATAAGTGGGTGTGAAGTGATTGTAGAGACTTGGCATGCCACACTCAGCGAAGGCACTGGTGGCATGATGAGAATAATGATTTGGGAAGATCATCCTGACGGCACTGCAGAGGTTGATTTGGAATGGGAAAGGATTGTGAAATTCCTCTCCGTGGTTGGCCTGGTTGCAGGTGTTGAGGGAGAACTGTGACTATTTCAAACATAATAATCAGAATATGATGACTGAATGCAGTTTTCCCTTTGTGTATACTTTATACCTTTTAGTCAAAAGTTAAAGAACAATTTGTAGGCGTTTTAGAGGTTTAGTTAGCCACATTGTATTAATTACAACTCTTTAAAAATACACCTACAATGAACAGTACTTACTATAGCTTTGCTGGTCATTTCCATGGATAAAGTATTTTATGTAATACATTTCACAACACAAGATGTTACCTTGTTAAATCTATACTTCTTTACCTAAACTTTCCTTAGTTCACTTTTTGACATTTCTAGGACATTCAGGACCAATTTCATACTTTTGCATTTAAAATCTAGGAACCATAAGCATATGTAAATAAGTAATATTACTTCTTAAAAAGTCAAAATATATAAAATGCATAGACATTTCTGGTATTTAGTTGAGCTAGACTATTGTTTTTTTCTTTCTTCTCTTTAATTTTTTTCCAAGGGGAATAATGAAATTGCAACAGAGATAACATTTCCAAATTATTTAACCTACATGCTTTTAATTCCCCTACAAACTATATTTCCCTTACACTAATCTATCATTAAGGCTAAACCTTAATAAAATTCCTCACTTCAGGGAAGGAGAGGACAAAAGGTGCTTAGGCAAAAGGAGTCATAGACCAGTCCTTGGTCTCAAAGCTCACCCCCTTAAGCCAAGGTTCTTTTATATGCTAAGATTAGGACGGGTTGACTCTTCACATTTAGTTCATGCATATATTATGTAGGAGAGATGAAGTAAGGGAAGGCATATAATCAGAGGAAGTTGAAGGACACCATGGCCTCTGGTCTAAAAAGGAGAACCTACAAAATTAAATACAGAGAAAAGGAAAGTGCAAGTGGCAAGACAGGATAAGAGCACATGGCAGGGAGAGAGATTAATCTTCTCTCCCATCACCTGGATGAAATATAGGAGAGAAAGAGAAAAAAGAACTAGAAACTCAAGAAAAAGCTACAAGCAAAGATTCTTTTGTTTTTTCTTCTGATGTGAACTTTGAGAAGAGACAGACTAGGGCAGAGGTGAGCAATATACCATTTTGGGAAAACTTCAGTTGCAGATAAATAATTATGAGTATTTTTACTTTAGAGAGAGGGCAAGGAACAGGATCACCGAGTTTCCCTTAGGTGTGTGTGTGGAAATCAGTCAGTGCATCTATTGTGCCCTCTACAGGAGATGTGAAAGGAAACAGAGTGACAAAAAACAGGCACCTGCCTTAGGGTGACTGCAATGGTGGGGATGGTGAACACAGCAAGGACACGGAGGTGGCAGCCTGAGCCTGGGAGCAGGTGAAGGACATAGCGGAGACCTAGAAATGTTATGGAGCTCCAGTTGCAGTTCAGGGAGTAATGCCTGCAGGGTTCTCTGCAGCCTGTGGTGCCACACAGGGTCCTGACAGCCAGACGGAGCTCAGCCAAGGCGTCTGGAGCCATAGCAGCTGTGAGATTCCGGGTCACTCAGGGCCTCCAGACAATGAGTCAGGGCTGACAAGGGTGATAAGTGACCTTAGAGGAAGCCCAGATCCTCAGGGTTGTTGTAAGATTTGATGGTGTTTTTAGTTACAGTGGAATGTAGAATTTTGAATCTTACTTTATGCAATTAGAGACAAAGAACTAGACACTGGAGTTTCTGCCTTTTTGACAGAAAAGCAGCATTATCTTAGAAACGTTTAGACTCATACACAATTATTTGATGGTGGCCTTGAGTCAATGTTAATAGAAGCCAGCCTTAGGAGATATTATCAGAAAAACAAAAACTAGAAGAAATCGATAAGGACCTGGGAAGCTATTTACCTGGACTTAAAAACTTCTAGAAAATAACTGAAAGAAGAGAAACCTAAATCATTAGAACAAGTTGTGCTGATGGCAAATGTAACAAGAATCATTCATTCTTTAAAGGATGCATCAAATCACTTCCAATTTTAAGTAGCTTCAACCAAAACAGTCTTTAAAACACAGAAGAATAAAGAACAACTTCAAATAGCACTAAACCATACTTTGGATGAAAATTCTGATCTTCAGAGGAGGAGGAAACAGCATTTACAAGAAGCAGGAGAGTGGAAAAGAAGAGTGAGTGAATTGGAAGTTGTATGCAACAAGCTCTGAAAGACAAAGCCAGGTTGCAGAACAGTGCTGTTCTTGGAGAAGACATCATGAATGGTGAAAACATGACATCCAATATAACAAATGTATCAAAACATAGCCACCTAGAGGATGATTTTAAGAGAACAATGAATGAGGCTGAGTAAATAGTATAGTATGGTGAATAATGTCCACCCCTCCCCCCACCAAAGATGTCTATATTCAAATCCCTGGAACCTATGGATATGTTACCTTGCATGGAAAAGAGGACTTTGAAGATGATTAAATTAAGGAACTATAGACAGGGATATTATCCTGAATCATATGGGTGGAACCAATGTAGTCACAAGAGGGGAGGCAGGAGGGTCAGAATCAGAGAAGAAAATGTGACAATCAAAGCAGAAGTTAATGAGGCTACAAGTCAAAGAATGTGGGCAGCCTCTAAAAGCTAGGAAAAACAAATTAATTCTCATGTAGGGCCTCCAGAAAGAACATAGATCTGCTTGTAGATATGATAATTTTAGCCTTTTATTATATAGGATATACACTGAATGGCCAAATTATTATGAATTCAGAGATCAGGTGTGGGTGGAGGGCATTAAACTGCTTTTGGACATCTGATGTCTAGAACTGGGAGGTAATAAATTTGTGTTGTTTTGAACCACTAACTTTGTGGTAGTTTGTTGTAGCAGCAACGGGAAACAAATACATTTGTTTAAAAGCGCTTTAAAAATGAAACAAATGTACTTTAAATTAACTGAAAGATAGCATAATCAATACACTTTGAGGTCATATTAAATTCTGCAAAGCAAGAAAACTTTTCTGCAGTCAGGAAAAAAACAAAAAAGAAAGTGAGAGGCAAAAGTTTTAGAAAAGCACTCAGTTCTTTCAGAACTGCATTGAGAAAAAGAAATAAATTTTCACCCAAAATTCAATTTGGAGGAAATTTACCATGAAAAGAGGAGAACATTTTCAAAGAAACTGAATAAATCAGCCAAACTTGTAAAGAATTGGACACCTATAAAATACAAGTTATCATTTCCTAGAAAAATTGAAAATAATCACTGGCCATTGTCAATGCCAGCTTGTTTCCTGCAAGAGATACGCTCACAAGAACAGTTGAGAGTGCTGATGTTAAGTGAAACCTTGGTAATTCAATAATGAAAAAAGCAAACTTAAAATAAATCTTAATTGAAGAAAAATTCAAATGTGAACATTTCTACATGTATTCACCTGCCCCACTTATGCCCCGGAGTTCCCAGGGTAACCTTTGGCAGAGTCCCCCTGGACGAGCTGATTCCTGAGGAAGGAGAAAAAGCAGGCTGTGATGGCTTGGCTAACCAGGGTTTAGAACCCAGTATGAACCAGGTGCCACCCAATGAGACCATGACCCGGGAGAAGGACCCTTCTATCTGATGCAACCCCATTCTGTGTTCTTTCTGGAGGCCCCACAGACAGAGCTTGTCCTGATGGTCCTTACACAGAAAGACTGTTTGGATCTCCTTTTAATTTAGTTATTTCACCAGAATTGGTTCTATGTTCTAGTCAGAGGTCATATCTCATAGACGAGTTCCTGACAAGAGCATCACTACTCTTCCCTTATTCTGGAAAACAACTGCAAAGCTCTCCCAGAATCCTCTTGACCAACAGACTTCCCTGGCCCACCATATTCTCCCTGCCAATAAGAAGTCATGTTACATCAAACACTGGATTCAGACTTCTGGCTATATAGTCTAAAAACAAACATGAGTCATTCTTGTTATCCCTCCTAATGAGTCAGTTTTCAAAGTTATTTTTTCCCCCTATTTTCACTTTATTGCTATTAGTAAAGCCGTTTGCTCAAATAGAAGATTGATAGAACTATAATTTGTAGGGTAGTTTTTATAACTAGATAATTTTATTCTGAAGCAAGTGATTTCATTTTTTCTATGTAATTGTACTTGGATTTTGTGTATTTATAGCATTTTTGACATTTACAAATGCATTAATACAATTCAGTTATATATAAAAGTGTTTTTGTCTTTAAATAATTTAGAACTTTTTCTGTTTCAATTTTTTGTTATTATTAAAGTAATTATGCTATGGTTGAAATGGAAACTTCATAGGAAATTTATTATAATTCTTGGAGTAGCATTTTAAATAAATGTACATTACATAAATGTAAATGTAAATCTTGTTAGTGAATTGTTTCCATTTTATTTGACTTTGAGACAGTTTAAAGAGTATTTTTGTTGTTGCTACTTAGCAGATGGATGACTTTTTGTCTGTTATTTTAAGTATTTTCTCATTTTGTTTTGCTGCTGTAGCTAGGTGATTGTACATTGCTCAAATGGAAATGTAACCAGAATTTTAATCTACAAGACAGTGTTTATGAATGTAGTTTATTTAAGAATGAATTTCATAAGTAAAATGCTTGCTTTTATTCTATTTCTAAATAGAATAGGGATAATATTTCATTGCTAATGTTTAACAAAGTTTTTGATAATATGCACAGCATTATGTCTTGCATTTGTAGACATACGAAACTTTGAAATCTGTATGTGTAGTAAGTACTGAATTTACTCTAGTTACAATGCTAATGTAAGTACTTAAATAAAATTTAGTTTAAAGAAAACACTCTGACTGCTCCTATTGTGTTTAGAATAAAATGCAAACCCAAACTCTTCAATATGAACCATAAGCTTCAGTAAGAGACAATCTTCCCGGTGATGATTTTATGGATAAATGTGAAACCAAGACTTCTACAGAGTAAAAAAACAAAACCAACTGCTCCACCAGGAAGAATACAGACAAGGGAGCACTGGGCAATGGAGTTGGACTTTAGGTTAAGTTAGTCCTGAACCCCACACTTTGTATTTTCAGTTACATAAGTCAATACATTTCCTTAATATTTGACTCCCTTTGAGTTAGACATTTTGTTTCTTATAGTCAATTTCATACTAATTTCTATTCTCTCCTAACATCATTTCAAACTAAAGCAACATTAAATGTTATTTGAGATATTTCAATAAGATTGATATTTCTTTAGAGAACTTATGTAATACATTTGTTTTCAAATAAGATTATTTCTTAAATAGAGGCCCAGTGCATGAGTTTCGTGTATTGGGGATGGGAGGTGGGGGGATTCCTGTGCCCTCTTATAGTCCAGGACTTCCAGGAGAATGTCTGACTGTGGGCCTAAGCCAGCAGGCAGAGATCCCTCTCACAGTCCAGGGCTCTTGCAGTCCAGGACCCCTTGCTCATTACTGCCTGCCTCTAGTGGAGGCGGGAGAGTCTCCCACCACTGCTGCTGCACTCATCAGCCATGAACCCTGCTTTTGGCTGAGCAGTGCTCCCCCTGTGGAAGTGCACTGACCACCAGGGGACAGCTCCTTCATTGAGCATCTGCCTTCTATGGTCAGTGCACATCATAGGAACTGGTGGTCCTGCCTTTTGGTCAATTTACATATTAGGCTTTTATTATATAGAATAACATTTCATATTCCAGATCTGATAGATGATTTGACCATTTTACCAGCATCCCCCTCAGGATCGAAGGTATTAACTCCCTACCCTCATCCTCTCTGCTAAGAGTGTTCTCAGCAATAGCCCTCAGGTGGCAATCCCCAACAAGATTTCCTCAGCTGAGCCGGGACCAGTTTGGCTCAATGGATAGAGCGTCGGCTTGGGGACTGAAAGGTCCCGGGTTCGATTCCGGTCAAGGGCATGTACCTTGGTTGCGGGCATATCCCCGGTAGGGGGTGTGCAAGAGGCAGCTGATCGATGACTCTCTCTCATCGATGTTTCTAACTCTCTATCTTTCCCTTCCTCTCTGTACAAAATCAATAATATATATATATATATATATATATATAAAAGATTTCCTCAGCTGAGAAGAGTTACTTGCTTAAGTTATGTCCTCCATCCAAGGACAGCCTGCATCCAATGACTGACTGAGATGAGTCCTGGCCCACCTGCTCTAGTCAGGTCAACTCTGAAGGCTCATCTTAGCTTCAGAGCCCCCTATTGGTTTGGCAGAGACTGCCTCAGAGGTCAACCTCCCCTCTAACCAATCAGGTTGCACTCTCTTTCTTTCCCTTCTCTTCCACAGGTGCACCTCCCAACAAGGTTTCTATAGCTAAGCTCAGTGCAGAAGTGTTCCCCAGGGAAACTGACTAAAGTATAGGATAATACTCTGTTTCACAGAGTCAAAACTTGTTACCTGGAGAATTAACCCCCTCCCAAATACTGGTGAATCAGAGTACCACTTGAAAAATCTGAAATCCCACATTATTGATTAACTTGCAGTTCATTAAAATGAATGAATGCTTGCAACTGGGGACTGAAACCACAACTTGGGCTTGTGCCCTTACCAGGAATCAAACTGGTGACTTTTGGTGCACAGACTGACACTCAACCAACACCAGCCAGGTCTATTGAAATATTTTTAAAAAGCGGTAGGGTTTTGATCCTTTTTGCTTAATGCCTTCAATTTTAAACAACTCAAATGCCGTAAGTTAATATTATTTTTGATTGGTAAGGTTAGAGGTTCTCTTGGCAAAGATAATCTTTTGCCTATCAGTGTGTAGGACTCCATTCATAGTCTGTCTCCTGAATGTTATTATTCTACATGTGATTACATTGTGGTTATAAGGTCACTTTCTCACAATGCCCATCACTGCCTTATGTTTAAACAAAGGCTCTGCAATCTGTTTTACTTCTGTTTTCTTTGCTGTTCTCTTTTTATTTCCACCTTCAATTTCTCTTTTTCTTCTCTGTTCATTCTCCTGGGGCAGTGGTCGGCAAACTCATTAGTCAATAGAGCCAAGTATCAATAGTACAATGATTGAAATTTCTTTTGAGAGCCAAATTTAAATTTAAATTTTTTAAACTTAAACTTCTTCTAACGCCACTTCTTCAAAACAGACTCGTCCAAGCCATGGTATTTTGTGGAAGAGCCACACTCAAAGGGCCAAAGAGCTCCATGTGGCTCACAAGCTGCACTTTTCTGACCATGGTCCTGGGGCAACAATTTATGAGAATGAACCTAAGGTATAATAATATACTCAGATACTACTTCATGGGACACAGATCAATATCTTTGAAAACAACTAATAATAGGAAGAATTTCTTCTGGAACATAAGCCTTCAATTGCCAACCCAGTAGATCACATCAAGGTGAATTTGAGCCTGTCAAGTTTGTGTGCTGTGTTCTGTAATTAATACTTTATTTATAAAGATGCACATGCCACAGATTGTGCTTTAAGAGGCTGATTGAGATGTACTGCGCCAACCCAGAGAAAGCAGGCTCAGGCTTAATGTGCTTGTCTAAAATTTTCTATCTTTAGTAAAGAGATTGGGTTCATGCTTGATTCTCCATTTGCCAGGATATTGGTAACTTGCTCCTCCTGTCATCTGCATTTTCCAGATTTCCAGGCCTTCTTACCCAGCAGACACTTTGTATTGAACTTGGAAAACTATAAAGAAAGTTACATTGTTTATAGGAAGGCAATTTTACAACACAGGAGGGCGAAAATGTGACAAAGACAAAGCTAATTTTTGGCATTATTTATATGTAGAGTAATTGTGAATGCAGTATTCTCAGTGTTGCCTTTCTAACTCCATTTTCTTTTGTCATAGTCTTAAAGAGCATGATTAGTCTTGGTCCTAAATTACCAGGGTATACCACTGATCATACATTTGCTTACTAAAAATTTAGTAAGCAAATTTAGGATTCTTAATTTGCTCTCTACTCTTCATAACTCAAGTCTTTGAAAAGACATAACTTAGAAATGACCCCTTATCAGACTTAACCGGGTGAGCATGTCACAAGTTATATAAATGTCTAATCACTATGAAAATAATCACACATGAAATTAATATAATATTGTATGTCAACTATAATTAAAAATGTAAAACAATTTTTTAAAATAAATGACCCAGAGAAAGAGTAGCAGTGATCAGACTCTCAAACCTCAGAGGGAAAGTAGGGGAAGGTGGGGGTAAGGAGAAGAGATCAACCAAATGACTTGTGTGCATGCATATGGACCTAGCCAGTGGCCACGGACAACAGGAGGGTGGAGGCATATGGGGAGAGGGGTTTGGGTTGGGAATGGGGGGATGAGGACAATTATGTGATAACAGAATCAATAAAATTAAAAAAAGAAATGATCCAAGGATTTAATAATTAGTAGCAAAATCATCAGCACCAATAGAGAATTAATATCATATTAGTCTAAAGAGCTGTTAAAAAACTTAATAGTCTAAACTGGTATTATTTTTGTCTGGTATCATGATGTTCTTGAAGATTGCCAGAATAAAGATAGTCTTTTGTTTTTTAGATTTTTCTGTGATTCACAGATAAATTAAAAAACTCTAGCATGTACTAAGCTATAAACAAGTTGCATCAGTTAATCTTAACTTTTCTGAGATGAAGGAGTGTGGAAATCTGCCCACCTCTATAAGCTAATGTTGGCTTTTAGAGTCCACATACATTTTCACTGAAAGATGACTAAAATAATATTTCCTCTAATGAAACCTCATATTTTACAATTCCTAGAGCTTCTCTAATAACATTGGAAATGAAATAAAAGTTCAGGAAAACTTAATAATATGCACATTTAAATATTTGTGAGAAGAGTGACAGATTAATCCAATACAAAATGGGGAATCTTTACCAAAAAATGAATGGGAGAGATAAGGATTGCCAGAGAATACTATCTATCTCTCAGAAACTGAAATGTGGACGTGAGCATCACATAAGAGCAGACAGGTGAGTGCTAAACTAATGCTTAGAGTTAGCCTTTCTTATTGAAGCAACTGGGGCTTCATAATGGTGTAATAATCTTCAGGACCCAGCAGTGGCACCATCAGATGGTTACCATGACAATGGGACTGGTATCATAAGGCACTATTAATAACCTCATTACTGCTGAAGGAACTCTCCCATGAATACTTGACCAGGAAATGACTTGCTATTAACAGAAATATACAGTTTCTCTCAAGGCAGATTAATCAATTGTTTTCTAAATAAATTAAAATAATCAAGAATGATTGAAGGTCATTATGGAGAAAAATGATTCTTCCAAGATTGAATTTGAAGTATGGTATTGAAACCCATCATGAGAGAAAATTTAGTATGTGTTGAGCATTTTCACAGCCCTAGTTAGATTACTAATGAAAAACAAACAAACAAACAAACAAACCACAACAGTGGCAATGTTTCTTTCAGTGTTTAAAGAAAAGGGGGATTTTAAGGTATGTTAGGGATTTGTGGACTTAATTTTGTGAATGATAAAACTAAGACAGTTACACATGTACACTGAAAAAAGTTTAATATTAGGATTAGGTGCATTTTAATTACTAGGTATGTCTCCCTTAAAGATATCTTATTGAAATAAGGTCACTTTTGAGTTAAATATGGTCCAGATTTCTTATAGAAAGAAAGAAGGGAAAGAGAGAGTACAGAGAAAGACCTGTTCTGTGTTTGCTTGGTCTACAAAAATTACTTTCAGAATTATTTACACACTGAAAGTAATGTGTCAGCTTGACTCATTGTGATGGCATAGTGTTAAATGCATCAGGTTAACCTCTTTTCCTAGCTCTATTGAGATATAATTGGCATATAACCTCATGGAAATTTAAGACACACAGCATGTTGATTTGATATATAAATATTCCAATATAATTACCACCTTAGTAGCATTAGCTAACATGTCACACAATAACATTTCTTTTGTGTAGTGAGAAAATTTAAAATCTACTCTCTTAGCAACTTTCAAGTATAAAATATAATTAAAACTGTGAATTAGATTCCCATATCTTCAAGAAGTTTTTCTCTGGACCAACATTTCCCCCTTTTCCTCATTTTCCACCCCCTGCTAACTACCATTTGGCCCTCTGTGCATTCTTGGTGGAAATGTAAAATGATCCAGCCACATGGAAAACAATATGGAGGTCCTCAAAAATTACAAATTAAACTACATATGATCCAGCATTCTCACTTCTGGGTATATATCTAAAGAGAAGGCATACCAGTATCAAAGGAAAATTCGCACTCCCATGTTTACGGCAGCATTATTAACTAGAGTCAAGACAGAAATAACCTGCCTGTGAGTGGATAACTGGATAAAGAAGATGTAGCATCCTATATAATAAAATCCTAATATGCAAATTGACCAAACAGCAGAATGACCGGTGGAATGACTGGTCTCTATGGTGCACACTGACCCCCAGGAGGCAGCTCCTGTGTTGAGCATCTGCCTCTGGAGAGGGAGGTAGCCCTCATTCCCTAGATGAGGTGCTGGGCCGGCTGGCCATCAGGGTGCGGGGCTGGCCAGCAGGTGGCACCAGGCTGCCAGCTAAGGCAGATGCCAGCGGAGCCCCGCCCATTGTCCCGCCCACTGGTTGCTCCACAGATCGGCCCTGATTGCTGGTCAGGTCGAGGGACCCTACCCTATATATTGGGAACAGTCTCTTAGATTTAAAAAATTAAAACATGGCAAAGCTACTCTAACACTGAAAACAAAACAAAACAAAACAAAACAGGATGATACAGCAATGACATGCATGGACTCTGGCTTGCATATTTTGTGGTCAGCCCTAATTCTGACACTTACAACTGTATGACAAAGCCTATTTCTTAACTTCTCTCTGCTTCAGTTGTTCTACCCATAAGATGGGGGAAATGGTACAACTGCTTCAAAAGAATCATGTTATATACTATTTTTTATAATCAGGTAAAAAAACTGTAGATGCCCACACAACAGCAAGATGCCTTTCACTGTATGAAAAGTATGGTCACTGGTGCATGCAGCATCCTGGATTGCAAGAGGGATGTTTGATTGCCAGTTTAGGCCCAACATCCCTCGAGGGATCCTGGATTGCGAGAGGATGCAGGCTGGGCTGAGGGAGGGACTATTTCCTCTGTGCACAAATGTTGTACACTGGGCCTCTAGAATATATACAATAGAATATTACTTAACCACAAGAATGAAGAAAATCCTACCATTTGTGACAACATGAATTGACCTTGGGGTATTATGCTAAATGAAATGTCAAACTGAGCTAAACAAGTACTGTATGATCTCACTTAATGTAGAATCAAAAAGAGGGAAGCTCACAGAATCAGGTAAATGTGTATACTTAAACCACCTTGGGAAAGGTCATGGGGTATATATGCCTTTTTTAACTTATTAGTATCATTTAAAAACCAAAATCTGATTCATCATATGCTTTTAGTTTTATGGACAAAAGCATTTTGAACCAATCTTACAAATGTATATCGCTCATATATTTGAAGTGCCCTTTCTGCTAAAGGACAATATCTGTAATCTAGATTAGAGTGATAAACAGACTTTGGCGGTACTTCCAAACTCTCTTTTTCTCTTATTTTCAGCAAGGTAGGCTCACACCTCACTTCATGGGTTTTTCCCAAGAACATCTGGTTCTCTTGACTATCACAGGTGTTTTAAGACATAGTCTACTCTCTACCTGGAACCCCTCATTTTCTAGATCCAGACTGCCCCTTCCCAAGCTTGCAGGCATACACATATTTTTGACTGAAGAAATAAAAAAATTAAAAAAAAAACCTAATTTCAGTTGACATTCAATATTATATTAGTTTTAATATTATACTAGCAGTAGAGGCCTGGTGCACTAATTTATGCACCAGTGGGGTCCCTCTGCCTGGCCTGTGGGATCAGGCTGAAACCAGCTCTCTGACATCCCCTGAGGGGTCTCAGATTGTGAGAGGGCACAGGCCAGGCTGAGGAACCCCCACCAGTGCAGGATCAGGGCCAGGGAGAGAAGTGGGAGGTTGGCCAGCTGGGGAGGAACCACAGGAGGGCTACAGAGCATGTCTGGCCTATCTCACTCAGTTCTGATCAGCTGGACCTCAGCAGCAAGCTAACCTACTACCCTGTTTCCCCAAAAATAAGACAGTGTCTTATATTAATTTTTGCTCCCAAAGATGCACTAGGTCTTATTTTCAGGGGATGTCTTATTTTTCCATGAAGAAGAATACGGTACACATTGATTGTTAAATGAAATTTTTTTGTGTGTGTGCTGAAAACTCGGATCAAACCTGAAAGTCATTTTTTAAAATTTTCTTGATTTTTAGAGAGAGCCTGGGACACATTCATTTGTTTTTCCACTTCTTTATGCATTCGTTGGTTGCTTCTTGTATGTGCCCTGACCCAAGGATTCAATTGCAAACCTTGGTATATCCAGACTATGATCTAAACACCTGAGCATTCTAGCCAGAGCCTGAGATGGTCAGGTTTTAAACAATGTATTTGCTTTCAGAGAGAGAAGATGGGAGAACAATGGAGACAGCAATTTGTGAACCCCAAACTTTGGAATACCAGACTGTCTATAAACAACTGAGCTCACCGAGCTCCCTGCTAGGCACCCAGTGATGGTGCTCTCTACCTTTCCCTTCCTCTCTGAAATCAATAAAATATATATACAAATAAAAGTCACATACATACGGTATTATGCATACATAGATACATAAACATACATACAGACACAAAGATATTGCAGCTATCATTTAAAAACTCTAAATAGTATTTGGAGCCAAATTGGGTTTCTGGGAGAAGGACTAAGTTAAGGTTACCTGCACAGGTGGCTAAAACTTTCCACTCTAGTTTTTAACCTCTATTTTTTATTTGTTTGTTCCCTTGTCTTTTCGTGGTTGTTGTTAATCATCACTGGAGGATAATTTGCCCCTGGGGATTGAACCAACCATCTTGGTCTGGGAATCCACTTTGATGCTCAGGGGGGTGCTTAATCCCTGAGCCACACCAGCCACTGATTTTTATTTATTTTTTTCACTTCTGCACCATAAGCATTCCCACAGAGAAACCATTTTAGGAGATATTTTGTCTCTTAGAAGTTTCCTCATGCCAATCAAAGAACACATTCTATGTTCTCCCTGAGCTTCCAGGATGCTTGCTTCTTAAGGGCAGCCCTAAGGTGGACTATCTTAGGTAAGCTAACGTTTCCCGAAGTGGCCACTACAGTTCCAAACTATCCAAAAGTTCCCTCATTTTAAAGGCAAAGGGCCCTGGTTCCTGTATTGGCCCCGGAGGAAAGCCCCATTTGCCTCTAGATTTCCTAAAACATCTAAGGTATTATTCACTGGTTCTGCCAACACGCAGGGACTCACATGGTTCCCTGGTTTTAGTAAAATAGGATGAATTATCAAGAAGCTTCAACAGACATGGCTAGGATCAGAGAGCTCAGCACTGAGGGACTGGAGCTCAGAGCTGAGCTATTTCCTGGAACTCCAAGGCCCCGGGGGGTGGGGGAGACAGAAAGGGCAGTGGGCTCACAGGTACCAGCACCTACTACTCACCAGCTTGGGAGTCACCAGGCCTCTTGTCCCCATTGGCTTCTTGGCCACAAGAAAGGTTGAGAGAAAATTCGGAGCCCTTTCTTCCTAGGAAGACAATCTGCTAACGCTAACCCATAGTAACGCAGCTGGGAGGCTGGGTTTGCAGGACAGCTGAGAGGAGGAAGTAGCTTGTCAGGATGGGCTTTCCTGGAGCCGGGGATTGGGTGACCGGAAATATATGGTGCCTTCGGTAAACCATGTTTTGAAGAAGGCGGGGAGGGGCAGCGCTAACTGGGCATTGAGTGACTGGCTAGATGTTTAGTGGAAATATAGAGCTCCAGCACAATGAAGTGAACTGTTTGGTCGAACAGGATTGAGTGATTGGTTGGCTGGAATGGGATGAAGTGATCAGTAGGCGCATTAGAGGCTTGCACTCACCCCCTTCCTCCGGATGTATAAATATCCAGACTTCAGGCAGCATCCACGGCATTCCTTCTCCAGGGAGCTCCAGGCTCACGTCCTCCTGGCCCAATGTCTTTGTGATGGGGCAGCACTTTCTCCTGGAGGACGGCAAGGATATCGTGCTGCACCAGGCTCCGGGTTCCGCAGACGGCGCTCCAGGTTCCACAGACGACGATCTGGATTCCACAGACGACGATCTGGATTCCACATATGACACTCTGGATTCCACATACGACACTCTGGATTCCACATACGACACTCTGGATTCCTCAGACGACGATCTGGATTCCACATACGATGATCTGGATTCCACAGACGACGATCTGGATTCCACATACGACACTCTGGATTCCTCAGACGACGATCTGGATTCCACATACGACGTTCTGGATTCCACATACGACACTCTGGATTCCTCAGACGACACTCTGGATTCCACATACAACACTCTGGATTCCTCAGACGATGATCTGGATTCCACATACGACACTCTGGATTCCTCAGACGACACTCTGGATTCCACATACGACACTCTGGATTCCACAGACGAGGAGGACAGCGTGCTGCACCAGGCTCCGGGTTCCGCAGAGGACGAGCTGGATTCCACAGACGATGATCTGGATTCCACAGACAATGATCCGAATTCCACAGAAAATGATCTGGATTCCACAGACGACGCTCCGAGTTCCACAGACGACGATCTGGATTCCACAGACGATCTGGATTCCATAGACGAGGAGGACAGCGCGCCGCAGCAGGCTCCGGGTTCCTCAGGCCCGGCTGCAGAGCGCCATCCTCCGCCACCTCAGACTCTTCCTGCCGCTGGCACCTTCCTCAAGCTACCACATCCACGAAGACCTCCGGCCCCTGCTCTCCAGTCCTTGCTGGCAGCTGCCCTCTGTCTGCGGTACCGAGCGCTCTTAGGTGAGGCTCAGAGAGCCCAGTGCAGGCTTCTTGCAGGAAGGAGTAGCCCCTGGAGGCCTGAGCCCCCAGAGCGCACCACCTTCCGGTCAATAGCATGCACCTTGGTTGCGGGCACATCCCCAGTAGGGGGTTTGCAGGAGGCAGCTGATCCATCTCATCCATGTTTCCAACTCTGACCCTCTCCCTTCCTCTCTGTAAAAAATCAATAAAAACATATTTTTTTAAAAAGAAAAACATGTAATTTGCTTAAGAAAAAGCCATGATAATACCTGTGAACGGTCTTGGTTGGTGGGGATGCTTTCCCCTCAAACCCCCTTATGTAGGAATGGGCATTCTATTCCAAACCGGAGGGTGGTAATGGGTTACTTTTGCTACCGCTGTTCCTGTTACCCCAGATGCACAAAAACAGAACTGAAGAGCAGCAGCAAAAAGACTCAGGTCTGCCCAGTTCTCAGAGCCAGTGGCGCCTGCACATCCTGCGCTCCTCCCCAGGCAGCAGGGCGGGGGTGGGGAGTGGGGGGAGGGCTGGTGGGGAGGGAGGGGTGGTGAGGCAGCAGCGGCCAAGGGCCAAGGTCGATGTTCCACGTGCAGGACTCAGGACGAGCTCCCTCCACCCGCCCGAGAGGTGACGGAGCTCTGCGTGGACCCAGCTGTTTAGTAATAGTAATAAGGATACATATAATATTGAATAAGTGTTAAAGTGTGGAATCAAAGTGTGATATCTGAAAGTATGAATGGAATGTAAACAATCTGATAAGCACCCTTGAGTGGCCTGTATGTAGGAAATAGATGAAGTGATCTGTACCCCATATGTAAGACCGGATAGCTAGGCTCCTGGGACCCGCTGATCAGACACACGAAAGACACATCTGAGCACTGAAGACACATAAAAAGAGCAAGTTCCACAGGAGATCAGAGACATTCCCTCTGCTCCTCTACAGAGGGTCGCTCTCCACTTCCCTGCCTGCACCAGTCAAAGCTCTGCCCTCGGCTCGAGCCACGGACTGTGAGCCATTGTGAGAGGCATCAACTCAAGCCTCGCTGCAGCTGCAAAGTCCTCCATGTACCGTGTGTATGTGTGTGTGTGTGTGTGTGTGTGTGTGAGATCAGGATCCCTGGGTGGCCTGCCTAGGATTCTGGAACCCACCAGGACTCTGGTAAATAAACCGTGATTCGTGCATTGCGTATTTGTCTCCTGGGTGATTTATGCTCAGTGAAATTATTAATTAAGTACTGTACCTAGGGTCGTACGTGTCAGATTTCTAGCGGAGGCACCCAGGTCACTTGTGCATACGTCCCTGATGGAATTATTGGGACACCAGCACTCCCAGGACGGACCTGAGGTTGAACCAGAGGTACCCGGGAAGAGGAACCAGGGCGGACCCATGGTTGGACCCACGATGAGGTGGCGGAGGCAGGCGCAGTGACCGGCCACTGGCCAGGCTGTTTGGAAACTGTTTGCTGAGCAACGCTGTTAAGTTTGATGTGCATCTGCATCCAATTATGCTTGTAATTGTTGGTCTTCGAACTTTTTCAATTGACCTGGACGGTCTTTGTCTTACATATTGAAATAATAATTTAATTTAGCATTTATACCAGCATTCTCAAGTATTTGGAGATGGAGCATGTTCACCATTAGCTTCCCAAAGTAAATGCTAACTTTTTCTTCAAAATAAAGTAATGAATTAAAACTTCCCACAGCTGAAACTGGTTTGGTTCAGTGGTAGAGCGTCGGTCTGTGGACTGAAAGGTCCCAGGTTCGATTCCGGACAAGGGCATGTATGTTGGTTACGGGCACATCCCCGGTAGGGGGTGTGCAGGAGGCAGCTGGTCAATGTTTCTCTTTCATCGATGTTTCTAGCTCTCTATTTCTCTCCCTTTCTCTCTGTAAAAAAACAATAAAATATATATTTAAAAAAAATAAAAAGAATAAAACTTCCCACAAATGCTCTTCCTTTGGCATGAAATTCGACATTTTTTAAAAATATATTTTTTATTAATTTTTTACAGAGAGGAAGGAAAACGGATTGGGAGAGAAGTATGAGGAAACTTCTAAAAGACAAGATAACTCCTAAAATGGTTTCTCTGTGGGAATGCTTATGGTGCAGAGGTGGAAAAAAAAAAATCAGTGGCTGGTGTGGCTCAGGGATTGAGACCTGGGCTGGAGCACCACAGGGTTCTGGGTTGGATTCCCAGACCTGGGTTGTAGGTTCAATCCCCAGGGGCAGTCAATGAATGTCTTTCTGTCTGTCTCTCCCTTCCCTAGCCTTTCTAAAGTCAAAAAATATGTTTTTACAATGAAGTGAAATGCAATAAACAAACAAACAAACAAAGAAACAACTTAAAACATGGACAAGGGGGGCTGAAACCTCAGTGGATAGAGCGTCAGCCTGAGGACTGAAAGGTCCCAGGTTTGATTCCGGTCAAGGGCATGTACCTTAGTTGCGGGCACATCCCCAGTAGGGGGTGTGCAAGAGGCAGCTAGTCGATGATTCTCTCTCATCAATGTTTCTAACTTTCTATCCCTCTCTCTTCCTCTCTGTAAAAAATCAATAAAATATATATTTAAAAAAATGGACAAGGAGGAAAGGGGTGGAAATGCATTTTAATCCGTGTATTTTTGTTCCTTCATCCTGGCTCCCTACTGCAGGGCCCAGTGTGTCAGGACCAGCCCCAGGCTCAGGATTGGAGGCCACCTGGTTCCTTATTCTTTGGTTGCACTTGGGCTAGGACCAGGGAACTTGGCCTCCAGGTACTTGCTTCTCATCTGTCCTTTTCTGGACAAACAGGGCTATTTGCAAGAAATTAAAAAATGGTGGAGTTTTCATCCCTTCTGTTCCCAGGACCGGTCCAGGCAAAGCTCTCCGAGGCGGAACCCCTTGTCTCCGGTGATGACTGGTCCCGGCAGGGCCGGTCTCCTAGGGGGTCTGGCAGTGTCAGGGCCTGGGCTTCCGGGGCTCCCCCTGCTCCCGCTGAGAGCACTCTGGCTGGTTGCAGAGCCGCCCCGTAGCTGTCACACACCGGGGCAGTACCTGCCTTGGTTCCTAGGACTGTAGCGAGGATTGCTTTTTTCTCCTCGGACAGACAAAGGTGTTCTCCGCGGAACACTGATGGATATGGTCCATTCCCACAGACTGGTGTGAGGGCCACGGCTCAGTTTCCACATCCCCCAGCGCACTTGCGGGCCCTTAGTCTCTGCGGGGGGGGGGGGGGAAGAGGAGGAGAGCGGAGCCCCGCTCTCTGCAGGGGGGGGGAGCCCCGTGGGGGGTGGGGGGTGGGGGGTGGGGGAGCCCCGCACTCTAAGGGGGGGAGGGGGCGGGGCTGAGAAGCCCAGTGAAAAGCCTATGGGTGGCCCATCGCTGCAGCGGGGGCTTGAGAAGCCGAGTGTCTGGGCTGCAGGAAGCGGAGCTTTCCCAGCTGCTGGGTGCTCAGCGTTCAAAGGATGGCAGAAGGCAGGGTGTTGGCATTGATTGGCCTTGGGGAAGTGGAGGCTAATTTTTTTTAATATATTTTATTGATTTTTCACAGAGATGAAGAGAGACGGATAGAGATTTGGAAACATTGATCAGCTGCCTCTTGCAGCCTCCCCTCCCTCCCCCCTCCGTACTGGAGATGTGCCCTCAACCAAGGTACATGCCCTTGACCGGAATTGAACCTGGGACCTTTCAGTCCACAGGCCGAGGCTCTATCCACTGAGCCAAACCGGTTTCGGCTAATTTTTGAAGTTGACTTGGTTGTGTGTGCGTTGGAGCAGAAGCAGAGCCGGACAGACTTCAG